TTTTTTAAAAAAAAAAAAAAAAAAAAAAAAAAAAAAAAAAAAAAAAAATATTTTTTTTTTTTTTTTTTTTTTTTTTTTTTTTTTTTTTTTTTTTTTTTTTTTTTTTTTTTTATTATATATATATATATATATATATATATATATATATATATATATATATATATTGTAATGGTTTTGCAGTATACACCCCATCATACTAAGGTGTGTTCAGACATTCATTTGGTACATTCAACACTGTTACAATTTTCTACAATATTCAGCAGGAGGTTTCTGCTTCATCTCTGTCCAACAATGGATTTAAATTGGTAATCGAGAGCATTATTTAATCCAGAATATTCCTTTAAATTATGTCGTTGACATTCGTGATGTTTTTGCAGAAACTAATACTGACCAGCAGTGCTAGTGTGGTGTTTGAAGGAACCGACATCAAGAATGGGAGAGAGGATCTGCCTTACGCAAAAAAGCCAATTGATTATTATACAGAGACCAAAATTCAACAGGAAAAGGTGGGTATGAGTCATATCAATGGCATTTCATCTCCCTATAACATTACTCCTGAACGTCAGCTCTCTTCTGAAATCAATCAAATGTACTAAATAGTTAATGAGTTGAGTTTTTCATGAATTTTGGTTGATGTGCTAAAGCAGTGGTTCCCAATCCTGGTCCTGGAGAACCCCCCCCCCCCCAACACTGCACTGCACGTTTTTGGTGTCTCTCTTATCTGACACTCACATTTGAGGTCTTGGAGTCTTCACTAATGAGCTGATGAGTTGAATCGGGTGTGTTTGAATAGGGAGACATCTAAAATGTGCAGTGTTGGGGGTTCTCCAGGACCAGGATTGGGAACCACTGTTCTAATGTACTCCATGTCGATCATCTTTTTCTTTCTTTGACAATCTGCTTCTGTCTGTTCAGTTGGTGTTGGAGGCCTGCAGTAAAGAGAAGGGTTTCCTCACTGTCGCTATTCGTCCTCATGGCATCTTTGGCCCCCGGGACCCTCAGTTGGTGCCCATCCTGATAGATACAGCCCGCAGAGGAAAGATGAAGTTTATTATCGGGTGAGCGGCATTAAAACAGTGTTGCAGAGAGCCCACAACTCCACTAGGTGGCAGACTGCTGTCTAGAAGATGATCTTGACTGTCAGCAATCATTCTGACATGAAATGCTCTGCTATATATATATCAGTAAAGAATATTGCTTTCAGAGCAGAAAGTGACAAAATAGGAAGACCAGAGATCATTGCACCAGTACCCAAATGAACCATTATTACCTAGATTTGTTTACTTGGTGATATTGCAAAGCAGACCAGTTTGTGTTCAGTCCAGTCAAGATCGGTCCACACTGCACACTTCCTCTGGATAGCACATTTTTGAGTGTTTTTAGGCTCCTAAATGTGAGTCTTTCATACAACAAGGAAGAATATCTGTAAGAGGTAGTCCACTAAGGACATTTTTAAAACAGACACTTAACAACAAAAAACGTCTAGAAGATATACTTCTCTCTGGCTTATTGCTCACTTGACCGTGACTGTGCAGCAGTGGTGGCATGTGTGCTTACTCTGACGGAAATGCTCTGTCATACTGCCTTCTGTACTGTGTGCTGTGTGCAGTGTTTTGGAAAATGTGAATCTGGCAGTGCCCCGTATCCGACCACATATTGTGATGGAAATGTCAGTGTTTTGGCCCGTATGAGTTTGCTTGATGTTGATACCAATAGAGAGCACGGGTGGCAGTACAATTAAAGCAGTATACACCTGTTAACTGAAGTTACTTCACTTTTTTACACTATTTCAGTTATTTTATTTATCTCACTACAAATATTTGAAACATTCCTTGAATTAGCCATTGACAGTACTGTTGGTAAACTGTCCGGCTGACTCGAGGGAGAGTTTACCCTTCTGTTCATCGACCACAATAAGCTCAACATGATCAAGGGTTCCTACCAACAAAAGTCTAGACTGACTTAGGCTGCATTTACACTAGTCTTAAAGGTCCACTGAAATGCTTAGAAACACGCAGCGTTACTCTGTGTTGACGTCATTTTAACTGAAACAGGAAGACAGGGCGGGACATATCAAGCAGCACCGCCCCTTTTTAAAATAGCC